AATTGTAAACCCACCACTGCTGCTCACCAACCATATAGATGCAAGTTAAAGATCAAAAATGTTATGGGTTCCACAGTCTCTTCTAAAGAACGGAAAAGGGATTAATTATTTTATCCCCAATAAGCCATTAAAGCTCTCACATAACAGCTCCTAACTAGAATTATGGACATTAAACCTTCAGAAATATTCTAATATTAAACAAACTAAACCAGTTTAGAAAAAACTGTTTCTCTAATGAATTGATGGAATATAAGACTTAAACCAGGGGTGTCAAACTCAATTTCATTGAGGGCCAAGGTTGTATTTGACTTTGGGGGGCTGGGGTGGACATGGCCAAGCTGGTCATGGCCAGCTCGACGTCACTCGTGTTGGGAACATCTGTGGTGGCCTGAGCACTCAGCCAGCAAAAATGGGCTCCTGAGCTCCATTTTCGGCTATGATATCATTTAGATCCCCTTTACGTTTTTTATTATGGTATGGTCCTGTACAAAACTTTGGATTCAATTCTGAAAAGTTGTTTGGCGTATGTGGGTCATAAGCATAACAACTTCCAACTTTTTTAACATGGCAGATATTCTCTAGATCACAAGGAAGAGCAGCCATGAAATCCTGGATAAACAATGCACCTGTTTGAAAGTATTTCAAACAGGTATTGCAAATCACATTCATGTGCACTTCAAAGCAGTTTTTTGGAACTGAACTTAAAACACTGCCCAGTTCTAATAGCCATTATGTTCAAAATGCAAACAAAAAATAAAATGTGCAAGACTAATTATATTTAAAAAGTTATTTTATACAGTGTTTTCACTATTAGCCTTTAACTATTTATATTATTTTTATATTTAGTAAAAAGTAATTGTAACAAAAGCTATTAGCTATACTATAGGAATTAGTCTTTGCACATTTTAAAAAAAAATCTTCTGTAAAATTTATTCTGTTGAACATGCTTAGGATACCTGATCAGATGTATTTATTTATTTATGTATCTCCCACCTTTATTTTTACACATCTCAAGACAGAAAACATATGAAACACACCTTTCCTCCTATTTTCCCACAGCAACCCTGTAATTTGGGCTGAGAAAAGGACCAGCCCAAAGTTCTCTATCTGGTTTTCATGGCTAAGGCAGGACCTGAACTCAGTCTCCCACTTTATACACCTTAACTACTAGCCTACTAAATTATCAAAACTCTCCTAACTAGACAAAAAAAGATATCCAGAGAATTCTCTGTGTCTCACCAAACTTCAGAATGCTTAAAAATAAATTCCTTTAATTTAGTGACAATCAAAACCATTATCACATATAGAATTTATTTAAATCCCTGCATATTGACCTGTAATTAAGCTTCAATGAAACCCTTAGGATATAAACATTCAGAAGTTTGCACTGTTATTGCTTATTATGTACCTTACTTCAATTTATTTCAGTTATACTACAAAGTGGCAATTTCAGTTTTCTTATCAAGTTTGATTCCTTGGACAATTTTACTTAAAAGTCCATTTGTTTGCAAACATAGTAGTTGAAAAGTTGCATGTTTCACTGGACTGAAATTATCTTACATATATCTTTAAACCTAATTATACTACTAATTCTCATAGCACCCATATAACTGGCAAGTCAGTCTAGTATTATTGTTTTCTACCCCATATGTATATAAATCACAATTCCCTTAAACTTAATAAGAATTTTTCAAGAATATGGGATTGCAAGTTTTTACATCTTTTAAAAACTCATTTATGTCAATTTCATATTTTTGCACATTTTTCTTATAGACTTTCAGAGTTTTATTTTCTATGGACAAATATAGGTAGTCATATTGATATAAATATGTAATCTGTTTGCTACTCTCAAGTTTAACATTTTATAATGATATATAAACCTGATATTACACAGCCAAAAGAAGACATGGTTTCCTATATATTTAAGGCTTTTCCATTTTTGAATTTATTCTCATTCAAAAGTAAGCCCTGTTTAAATTCTAATTTTCCGCAGATATGGTTTTTTAAGTTTAAAACCTGCACTTCATATTCAGACAGAATTTATATCTGAACAAAAGTAGAATTCAAAAATTTACTAAAATATTTATATATAAATCGTTCCTTTCTAATGAGGGAAAGTGTCTTATTGTCTTTGCTTAGAGGGAATGTTGACAGCTAGTGCCTCCCCCAATTTAGTACTAATAAAAAACAATGGATTATTTAGAAGCACTTCAGTTACAAAGATATTTTATCATTTTGTTGACCGGGAGATATTTCAAAGGAAAATTAAGCACCCTTACCTCTACTGACCTTACTGGATAGTTAAAACTTATGGGAAATAAATGAGGTTATTTTTTTTAAAAAAAAGGTGTTTTAATATAAAACTTTATACAATTGAGACTTACTAAAATTTGAGAATTTCTTCCCTTGCTGCAGTGTCTCGTTTATACACAATACATGATTTAAGGAAAGCAAATCAGTGCTCATTTTTAACACTTTCCTCTGCTTTTTGTTTATTATTACTACAACTCCTTCCTGGGTCATGGAATGTGATGTAAAGTTAAATGCCACTTGACATGGCCCTATCCCTGTAATTAGAAACCACTTTGTTTTGATAAGTGCTCTCTTCAGAAATGGGTTTCCATGTCGATTTGCCCCCTATTGCTTAACACTAGACAAAGCATTTCAAGCACTACTGACAAGGTAGTAAAAATAGAACAGGCAGCACTTACCTTTATCCCTTGGTGCTGGGTGGTTAAGGTTAATTTGGATTCATCCAGAAGCAGAACTTCACAATAAAATTCCTCAGGCACTGCACAGAAGCAGCCCATGGCTGCTCCAGTGTCTTGGATGTCAGATTGCAAATGATAAAAAGAGATGAATGTAACTTCGAGCACAGCAGGGGGGAAACCAAATAACTCTGTTCTGATCAGGCAATTTTTTTAAATTTCACTCAAAGGATCAAAGGTGGAGAAGGAAAGCGGACTAGTCTTTGTCTTCAACCAGCTTACTAAAGAGGGTGCCTTACACCAAAGGTNAAACTCACTTAACAACGCTCTTGCTTAGCAACCAAAATGTTGGCTCAGAAACTCTGGCATTTAAAGCACGCAAATCTTAAAGCTGTCAAGTTACAAGACCCTTGCATCTCTAACTCTTTAGAAAAAAAACCCAGGGGTGTTCAAACTTGACAGCCTTAAAACTTGGGGACTTCATCTCCCAGAATTCCTCCCCTTAGTCTTCATCTTGGTGATGTGTGGATGGGCGGGGGGAGGGAACTGGAACTGGTTCTAAATGGCTCTGTAGATTTGTGGAACCTCTTCTATAGAAGAAGTTAGAACTGGCAGGAACCCACCCCTGCTATAGAATGAACTAAGGTAATATGTTGATGAATTTTTCTTTCTCAATTTTACATTTTTTGGCTGTAAACATGCAGATTTCATTTGATTACTTTTGTCAGTTTGTTACTAATTATGTTGATTCTTATTAAGCAAGGGACAGATAATAATCAAATACTGAATTGGCAATTTACTGACAACTAAGAGATATATTTGGCTTAATTCACTCTACACTTAATTCACTTTACAAAATATTGCAAAATTTGTTTCCCAACTGTTACAATGCTGTATTTGGTAATTTCTTTACCATTTGTAATTTTTATGAGACAAAGCTAAGCATATTGTATTGTAAAGTGAATAAGTCCCACAGTTCCAGTTTATACTTACAACTTCTACAACAAATAAAGCCTGCTAAAGGAAAATTACTTAAAATTTAAAATACAGTATTGTCTACAATCATTAAGAAGCCAGAAATTTAGTCTATTCAATAATAGACTTGATTGTTGATTGTACAAACCTCAGACTGGCCAGGAGGTAACTTGGTTTAAAAATTAATGGATTTCTACCGCATTGTCATGCCAGTTCCATTAATTTAATTAGAGGCACTCTGGGAAAATAACATGACTTAATACTCATTCATTACATAGTAATTCCTCTGAGAATTCAGAATAGTTGGTCTCATCTGTAAAGATGCAGCAAAAATTAGTAATCTGTGCAAAATAAAGACGGATTTTAGAGAATGGTTAATTTATGAAAAGTTCTGCAAAATCTTTTCTGCTTTTCAGCTTTTTATAAATGAGTATCAGAAATATGAAGAGAATTTATGGTATATACTTTGTGTGTGTGTGTGTGTGTGTGTGTATACGCATACATTGACATACATTTCTGTTTCATCATAAGCATATCCACATTAATAATCTATTTTATAAAAGCTTATGTTCCATATTGTTACGATATAAGATTCCTTCATCCCTTAAATTTCTGACTGAGAAAACTAAGTTGTTGCATGAAATTCTTAGTATTCTCATGGTAT